CCCGCCACAACGCCCGGCTATTTTTCTGTTGCAGTTCAGCCGGGGCTGAGTTTGAACCTGCCACCCTTGGTATATAGGGCTGGCGCCTTGCCCGCTGAGCCACAGGCACCGCCCTAAACCCTGGGCTTTGGATGTTAATGCTGTATCAACATGTTGTAATGAACATGCCACCCTACTGCAAGATGGTGGTGGGAGAGGCTGTGTGTGCCTGGTGACTGGGGTTTTGGGGGAACTCTCTGTATTTTCTGCTCAATTTTGCTGTGAACCTAACACTGCTGTAAAAAAATTACTAACTTTGGGTGGCACCTGTGGCTCAAAGGAGTAGGGTGCTGGCCCCATATACCGGAGGTGGCGGGTTCAAACCCAGCACCAGCCAAAAAGTGCAAAAAAATAGAATAAAAAAAAAAGTTATGAACTTAAAGAAATGCAGCAAACTCCTTAAATATCTACAGCAACACTGCATAACTTACTGGATACGATCAGTTTTTACTACACAGGCTATGGGTTTTGTAGCCAAGCAGCTTATGCCAAAAGATTGCTCTTCATTGCTAATTGCTTAATTCTCAGAGAACTATTTCTAATGGTTAGTTGATCATTCTACGGGAAGGCATTTGCTTTGTGTGGCGACTCTGTGTAAGACAAACTTTTAACTTTGTAATAGTCTATTATCGCTGAAGAGTAAAAGAGGGCCCCGGGGAGGATTTCTAACCGTGTCGCTTTCTTTAGTCCTTCATAAGCAAACCAGAGTTCTCCGTCCTCATTGAGATGCTCCAAATCTTCCACAGAGAGCCTACAAAACAAGGAGGAGGAAATCTATTACCTCTTGCATGTTTTACACGTTTTTAAAGCTTTGCTAATGCAAACATGGTTACCTGCTTCTGACATCTTCAATATCATAGCTTTCCAGAAGTTGTCTGGTGATCTCGGACATCTTTTCTGAAAGGAAAAAGCAGTGCTGTATCCGTTACACCTGTGCACGACGTCTCTTCTTCCATCCCCTTTCTAGGAAAGTTTTCTAGCTTCAGAGAGTCTTCAGCTAAGAAACTTAACCAGCCGTCCAACCAGTCAGCTAAGCAAATTTCTAGCCATTTGACCAATGAGCTGTCTAACCTACTAGCGAACCCGTCTACCACGTAGCCACAAACTCACACCGAAGGACATGTTTCCTTAGCAGTGACTCATCTATGAGAAGTTCAGCCTGCACCCTCAGTGACTCGTTTTTCTTACCTCTCATTTCCCGTTTTTGTGACTGCACATGTTTTTCCACGTCTATCTTCTGTTCCTGAAGTAGCTCTATCTCCTTTTCAAACTCTGAGATTGTCTGAATCACAGCAATGAGCACATCAGGAGAAGAAAAAACAGCAAACAGCAATTACTCTTTACAGCAGACGAGGGACCCTGTCCAGGTTCAGGGCACCTGTGCACCTTCACTGCAGTCTCTTAGTTAAAACCCGGTGAAACCATCACTGCCTGCCCAGATCGGCCTTGTAGCACGTTTAACTGCTGACAACGCTGTTACTTACTCCCAGACCCACTTGGCTGTATCTGTAGAGTTAGCTTCCTTATCATACAAAGGACAAAAACAAATACTCACTACAACCTGGGAGTGGGGTGGGACGGAGGGAAACAGAGAGAGGTAAAACCACAGGGGCTGAGATTCTCTTTCAGTGGATTATAACATCTTGGGCCCAAGGATATGGAGAAAGTCGTCACCTTTCAAATGGTGGATTTTGGCTTCAGCTGGGCTTAGGTGTGAGGCAGGGCAAAGACAGGCACGTTCAGGAGGTCTGGGTGTTAGCTGGCCACAGGGGCGGAGGGAGGTGGCAGCTCAGGGTGTGGGGAAGAGGCCGTATTCTGCCTTTATTCAGTCTGCTCACGCTGCCTAAGCAACATCCTAGGTTTGTGCATTTGCAGCTAAGGGGGGTATAAAGGGACAGTAGAAGTGAAAAGCCCTTCCCTGATATCTTCTTCGTTACCTCGAGTATTTAAGGACTTACAGTTCCTGTCTCCACAGAGGGTAAGAAGGAGGGGGCAAACTGACATTTACCCAGCACTTTATATAGGTGACTTAATCCTCCTAACAGACCTACAAAGTGAGCTGAGTGACTGTTTACACATTACACAACTGAAGAGGTGGGCGCCAGCCCCACATACCGAGCCTGGCGGGTTTGGCAGGTTTGAACCCAGCCCCGGCCAAACTGCAACAAAAAAATAGCCAGGCATTGTGGCGGGTACCTGTAGTCCCAGCTACTTGGGAGCCCAGGAGTTGGAGGTTGCTGTGAGCTGTGACACCATGGCACCCTACCAAGGGCAATAAAGTGAGATTCTGTCTCTAAAAAAGAAAACTGAAGTGGCATTTAACTGAAGGTTAAATGTCATGTTCACAGTCACATGCCAGGTTTAGGGGGGACCTATCACTATTCAGTGCTGAAGCCCTGCTCATCGCTGTAATGTTTCATTCAAAGGTGTTCCAAGTCAGACTTGTATGTACTTATGCTTCTTTTAAACCAATTATAACACATACGAGTAATCTGATAACGATGAGTTAGTTTCTGTATAAACCAGACTAATCTTAATGCAACACAAGGGAGAGTTTGATGGAGCCTTAGGGGCCAAAGAGGACGTGAGCGACACCTACTGGCGCCTTTCTCTAAGCGCAGCCTCACTATGTCCTGAATTTAAGGTGCAGACTGTAGCCAGATGATGTGACTCCCACAGATTGACATCAGTCTTACCTGTAGCTAAGAAAGAAGCAGTCACAGGAATGTGTGGCTGAAAGTAACACTTCTGGATCATGTGATCTGATCTACTTTTGAACATCAGAAGACCAGGGCCCAGAGAAAGAGGATGGGCCGGCTGTGGAATTCAGAGGCTACCCAGACAGGGTTCCAAAAGCTCTTCTAAACCACCATGGCTATTTCATGACAATTACAGAGAACAGCTGCATTGTATTAAAAAAAACATGCTACCAATATGTGTTTTACATATTTAGTGTAAACGTAAAAGCTTTTGAATTTTACAATGAAATGTGTTACATTTATGAACACAGGCACATACAGGGTTGAGTTCTCTGGTAGACAGGGAAACAATTCACTTAAGCCTTGACTGTCCAAGCATGGATCACTGCTTTATTTATTAATTGGTTGATATGATCTGATTTTTCTCAATAATTTTTTCTTAAATTTCTCAGGAATATTTATGTATTTTTGTGATAAATAACAACTAGTATTTTGTGTATGATGAAGCAATTTTTAAAAATTCTACTATGCGGCTCAGCGCCTGTGGCTTAAGCGGCTAGGGCGCCAGCCACATACACCTAAGGTGGCAAGTTCGAATCCAGCCCGGGCCCGCCAAACAACAATGATGGCTGCAACCAAAAAATAGCCAGGCATTGTGGCAGGCGCCTGTGGTCCCAGCTAC